ATATTTGTTATTGTAGCTTTTATATATGCCTATACATACAATAATGTGGTAGGTGAAAAGGGCGGTAGTCAAATCACAATCAATTTTCTTTTTCTCCGTTTTCCTAGTGATGAAATGTAAATAGAATTGTGGCAGATTTTTGACCATTTGTATCGGTGTTTATTATTTTTGTTACCTAATAAGTAAAAAAATTGCAATTATGGTTGTAATACACTTAGTAAAAGTGTCTTGTATTGTAAAACCGGAGGGGGTGGTTAACCGGTAAATAGACATTGACGCTCACAGTGCGTGACGTAGATTAAATTATTTTTTAAGCAAATATTTATTTGTTCGATAATTATTAAAGGTACGTAAGGTTAGTTTAGTAAAAAAAATATTGTAATTAATCCGCGATTGCGCAATTACGCCATTAATATTCGTTCAGCCTTACTTTACGATATTTTCTTTAATATAAGAGCGGAAGGTCCTCAAATTTGATCGAAAATGCGACGGCTCCGCTGAATTTCGAACGAAAAAAATTGAGCAACTTCCAAACCAACATCAACCGCTTCGAATTTCAGCGCAACGACCACCTTCAAGCCGGGTACCATTTTCAACCAAATTTGCGTTATTTAACATTTGTAATGCCCAATTATTTATAAGGTCCTGGCAGTTTTAAAATCGAACGATATTTAAATAATTATTTAAATATTATTAAATTTAGCGGCACCGACCGCCCTAAAATGATCCAGTCAGCCGTGCAATGTTACGGAATCGTAACTATGCTTAAAATAGAAACGTTAAAAACCAAAAATAAACCTTAAGAGAGATAGATGACTGTCAGCCTAAATGTTAACAAAAAAAAAGCAATTGACTAACTAATCGCGTAATTTAGATATTTAAGGAGATCTGGCAAGGTTGCAAACTTGCGTATACCCAGTCTTCCCACCAACGAAAAACGAAAGAGTGAAACCTCTACAAAGAAAAAGAGTTCAAAGCGCGCTCTATGTAATCGCCACAGGAAACCGCATATTCCTGTCATATACACGTTAATCAAGCATTTTAACACTTAGAGAGTACGACGCTTACTTTAGATACTACTAGATGCTAATATAGTTGTATTTTAAATAGTACAAAGTAGATTAGTTGGTAATTTCAACACTTCTCAAGGCCCGAATTGCATGCAAGGGCCCCACTCTTAGCACTAAATAATATCTTAGACCTAGAGACTCTAAGAGAAATTTTAAAATCGCATTTAAACTATTTAATCGACGAACTTTTGGCTTATTACTAACGAAGATTTGAGCAATTCTAGTTTAGCATTTCGCTTGACTCTTCGTTTCTCTATAATATATTATATTTAGTCTAGCCAAAGTACTTATATACTCTTCAATTATAATATTATTAGATTTTAAATGCGGTAAAATAACACGATCTTGACAAAATGTATGTATATATTAATTATTGTACTTTCGTTTACTCTTTTCTTTAAAATATCTAATGGCGTAATTGCGATCGTCGCGGATCTCTTTTTTTAGAAATGATTGCAATTGATTTAGGTGTAGTTTTAATACCTAAGATATTTATACAATCCCATTATTGTAAGTAAATAAGAACAACAAGTTGGTAAGTTGATTAAACCTTGTAGATGTACTGTATTTCATCATTACAATCAAATAATAAAGGTTTCCAATTCTTTAGATTTATTATTGTATTTATTAATTATATTATACAGTGATATTCATGTAGAAGTAGACATAAGGATTTCCTATAGGAATTTCCTATGCGTACTTTCAAATGATACAAGGTCTTTTGAAGGACGCCTAACTTTATGCAACCAAAATAACTACCTACAACAAATGAAGATCTGCCTGTCATATTAACTAATTTGAATATTATCGCTTTGACTTCCGTTTTCTAATTTTCGTCCGAAATCCCTATGTCTACTTCTACTTGAATATCACTGTATATACACAAGCTGTTTGACGCAAACCGTTCCTAAAAGTATTTAGATTTCCATTAATAATTTAAATATAAAGATTTGCATACCAACATAGTTTTTCATGATCGAAAGAAAATATTATCATGATCGTGTCACTTTTGGTTGTACCGGACGTGGATAGGAACGTTCTTATTTTAAATAGAACACCCTATATTTTATTGAATTTTCGAAATCTACATGAAAATCTACGTTGTTTGATACAAATTTCCCTATACCTTCATCAAAGGTTTTCAAGTAATTAAAGATTTTTCAAAATTATTGACGTTTCTCGTTAGTGCCCTGTACCTATATGGCTCCGTTGACTTTTCAAAAGTCTTCCAAAATCAACAATACTGACGTGATGCTACATGCGAATTATTTAAATTTTGATCTCCCTTCCACAGGGTGTTTTAAAATTAATGGTCAAGTTTAATAACTTCGAACCATAAACAGTGGTTTTTTTCAAATGAAACCTGCTTTCTTTGCACTTTCAAATGTGGAAAAAGTTTCTACATCGATAAATTATTACATGCCCTATAGCTATCTGTTATGGTTTTCGTTTTATTTAAGGTTTTCTAAAATTGTGACCGTTATATGCACAATTTTCTTAGGGGGCCTTGTTAAAATTCACCATTAGTTTTAAAACAGTCTGAGGAAGGGCATCAAGTTAACATTGTTGACTTTTTGAAATTCAATAGCTAACGGAGAGCGAAGTGCACCTACATTTAACATTTTAACAGAGCACAAATTCGTTAAAATTAAGTAATAATAATCATCGATCAAAGCAAATAATGAAAACGAGATGTTGTTACTATATAATCATAAAATCTTTGAGGCCATTTTCTAAATTTACTTACTTCGTAACTGCGGGTATAGCGCGTTCGCACCTCCAGATGCAGTATGGGGTCTTATGGACTAATTGCCTCTCTTACTAGTTTGCGTCATTCTTCGATAATACTATCCTTGTTTCTGACCGCATTGATGTCAAATTGACATATGATTAAATTGAAGTATTAAAACAATACATAATCTCCTTGCGCTGTCATTGTCACGTTTGGCAAGCATGTACTGTATGTCCATAAGCACCATACTGCATCTGGAGGTGCGAACGCGCTATAGCAGAAAATCCGGTCCTGTAGCAGAAAAATAGCAAACTGGCAGACACGTTCCATGGTGGGTTGGCAACACTGCAAATTCCTGTCAAACGATATAAACACAAGTGTAAATAAATGTTGCTATGTATTGTTTAATTCCAGAATGGTTTTTTGATAATCCAAAACAGATTTTTAACACATAATATTGTTGTTAGGCATGGATGTAGATAATGACACCCTACTCATTAAAATCGAACCGAAACAAGAAGAAGAAATCCATTCCTTTCTTCAGGACCACATTTCAGTGAGCAACGAAGTTTTGGTCACAACAAAGGACGAAATTACCATCAGTACACAGTGTTCTAAATCTCTTTGTAATGAAGAAGTACAGCAACACTCTGACCTTTTTACTCGGTGTGAAACGGTGTCTAAAGATTTTAAATGTGCCTATTGTGATTATGAAACAAACGGTAAAATCAATTTGAAACGACATCTTGTAAAACATATAAAAGATTCTAAGGATTTTAAATGTGCTGATTGTGATTATGAGACAAATTATAAAGGCAACTTTAAACAACATCTTTTAACACATATAGTTTTTAAGGATTTTAAATGTGGCAACTGTGATTATGGGACAAATAGTAAGCACAACTTTCAACGACATATTTTAAAACATAAAGTTTATAAGGATTTTAAATGTGCTCATTGTGATTATGAGACAAACAATAAATATAACTTTAATCAGCACATTTCAACACATAAACTTTCTAAGGATTTTAATTGTGCTGATTGCGATTATGGTACGAATAATAAACACGTCTTCAGACGACATCTTTTAACACATCAAGTTTCTAAGATTTTAAAATGTGCTGCTTGTGATTGTGAGACAGCTAATAAACACCACTTCAAAGAACATCTTTTAAAACATCAAATGTCTAAGTATTTTAAATGTGCTGATTGTGATTATGTAACGAAGGATAAAAGCAATTTGAAACGACATCTTTTGAAACATAATGATTTTAAATGTGCTAATTGTAATTATGGGACAAATAATAAATACAGTAATCAACGCCTTTTAACAGATACGGATTCTAAGAATTTTAAATGCGCCGATTGTGATTATGAGACAAATGTTAAACACAACTTCAATCGACATCTTTTAAGACATAAAGTTTCGAAGCATTTCAATTGTGCTGATTGTGAATATGAAACGAACGATAAAAGCAATTTGAAACGACATCTTTTAAAACATAAAGTTTCAAAGGACTTAACACATAAAGTTTCTAAGGATTTAAAATGTGCTGATTGTGATTATGAGACAAATTATAAATTCCATCTTAAAAAACACCTTTTAAAACATAAAGGAGCGGAGAGAATTGAGGCAACTGCAATGAAATATGATGTAAAAGAATAATAAACTGAAATCTCAGTTATTATTATTATTTTTTTTTTTAGGTATAGGGTTTAACATCTAAGGTCATATCCCCTCTATACACAGTTTCAACTACCTCACATTTGCTCACACTTATATTAATGACTGGACAGTTTATTTTGCCCCTACAAATCCTTCAGATGTAAATTTTGTTGTTTTTTCTGAGGGTTAACTAAATAAAACTATTATTATTATGTGTATCATGACCCTTGCGGGATGGAGCTTTTTTATATGAATTTAATTTATTCTTTGGGAATCTCTATTTAGCTTAATTCTAAGTTCTCTTTCTGAATATTTACAGTCCTTTTGTTTTTCTTATTTAGTACACAAGTACATTCTCGAAGATATTCTGTTGGGACAATAAATGATTATTATTATTATCGTCTGTTTCTTGTCAGAACTCAGGTCTAATCTGCTTAACTAATCGCATGGATTAAAATCAAGTAACGTTTAGTGTTTAATTATTATATACCTAGTTATTAGTGTATTATTAAAAGGAAAATATGAAAAATTATTCATGTTTTATATATGTATATAAATATTAATAGAGTATATATATAATAAAGCATTTACTTATAATTTGACAAATTCACGCGGCGACATCAAAAAATCGATCAATCATCGCGGAAACTTCATCAGGTTTATATTTCACGTACTTATCCGGGTTCTTTGAAAAATGCATGCTTCCGTACCTGAAAGATAAAAATAACATATTTTATTGCGCAGAAACGGCATATTTACAATTCGTAAAAGGCGTTATACTTGGGAACTATATACTCCTTATTGTCTCTCTTTAAACTTTCACGAAGCTCAACGTCCGGTATGGAGTAACTCCTCTGCACTCGAGCAATCTCTTCCAATTCCTTGTTGAAACCCTAGATGCACTTTATTAAGTCTGTGGTCAACGCAAGGAAGGGGGAAACTTACAGCGAAACGTTCCTTGATTAACGCTCTGTCTTTGTCTCGCATTCGATCAGTGTGCAATAGGTTTACGGGCATGTCATCCGTACTCCAGATGTAGCTCAGCAATTTACTCCAACTAGAAGGATTCCTTGTATAACGTGGGGGGCGAGTCAACCTTACCTGGCCGAGTAAGATTTTTTCTGTTCTTGAATGGAGTTATAGTAGTATTGCTCGCATTTCGGTTCCGAAATTCGGTAGAGCTCCAGTAAGCTGCTGCGTTGTAGAGATTTCAATACGTAATTGTTGTTGTTCAAACGGAACAACGCCTTAAGTGCAATTTCACCGTATTGCTCACTCTTGCTTAGTAACGAGTGATTAAGTTGAACGAGCACTTTTTCTAAGAGCATACGATAATGATAAAATTTAGGGGAAGAAACTTACTAATGTATAATCCCAAAATGGCCTTATTCTTATCGCTAGCTTTAAGTTTGTCTAACTGCGAGCTGTAATTAAGATCATCCATTAATACACGTCCCAAGGTGGAGGTGTACTCGAGTAGCTGCTCTAAGAACATCAAAACATTACTGGTCAACTCGTGCACAGTGCCATCCTTTGGCAGTTGAGTAACAGAATCTGAGCGTAAACTCTCGATGAAATCCTCTAAAGCCTTTGCACCCTGAGAAATCAATTGTTTACACCGCGCATGCCGAGGTGATAACCTACTGTGGTGTGCAGCGTGTAAAGGATCGAGTCAAATTTGGATTTCACATTCGGATCGCACTCCTCAATTGTCCGCTCGAAGTCCGGTTTCAAAATCAGCAACTGTTTCAGAATGGGAAACAAAACCAAAACGGCGCAGAAGTCGTGACGGTTTATACAGCGTTTCGCTCGGGCTGCGATGTTCTAAAAGACTACGGTTATATGATCGACTAAAGTGGCGCCAATGCAAACCTCGCCGTCTTGAACGATTGTATCCATAGCGTCGCGGACAATTAATTCGAAAACTCGCGGCTGATGTGTGGGTGTTATTATGCCTTTCATCAGCGACTGCTCCACCTGCATTAGTTTGTGAAGCGCCACCACGCAAACTAAGTAATTCTCCATTTCTTGTTCGCTGTCCAGTTCCTCGCCACTGTAGGGTACGTCCAAGTGAGCGGAGGAACGACGCGTCCCCAGCGCTAAGCCGGTGGACTGTTCGATCGTCTGCGACGCGCGTAGAAGCATGCGACCGGCTTTTTTCTCGAAGACTTGATGCAGACGCCTAGTTGACGGCCGTCTGGACGCCTCGTGTCTATTTTGAAATTTCGGTTTCTAAATAAAAAGGTTCAACGTTTTGCAGACCTGCAAAAGACGTGCGTACCAGCATTGGCGATCCGGCAATCCCCTGCACGCTACCACCGCTCACCGATCGTTGGTGGTTTCTCAACAACGTCAGTGACCGTTGCAGAACCCCGCCCCTAATCTTACCGTAGACCGTGAGGTACTCGTCACGATCATGGTCCAAGAGCCAGTTTGCGATTTTTATTAGAACGACCTTTGTTGATTCCGGAATTTGGACCGGAGATAGGGGAACATCCTCGTTTGAAGTATCTGTAAATTGCAACAATACCACACTGGTACCTTTGCCCATTTTACTGACGTCAAATCATGTAGTGTCAATTTCTTTTGGTAAATGGGCGCCATTTTGAATTGTTACCCACATACATTTTGGACGTGCTATATTCGATAATCCCTCGGACCAGAGATGTCTAAACCAAAACATAATGTTGTGCAAACAACGTCATGTAGGTGTTAAAAGTAAGACACATCTTGTCGCTTTATCGGGCAAAAATTAATTAAAGCACGTGTCTCTGTTATGAGATGATGTGCGCGTTTCATGTGGTATTTTAAAGTTTAGTTGTCATTGGCGCTTTATTTGAAAATTCATGAGGAAGGAGTTTTATGGTGGAAGTGGTGTTTTGTATAATACTGGAGACAAGAGTGCTTGCTTCGCGACGGTTGAAAAGCGCGCGAGTTTAAATACCTCGTTTTTTTGTGTGATCGAACTCGATATACAGATATGGTAGTGCATATAAACGCATATTGGCAAACATTGCATAAATGCTTGCATATTTTAGAAAATCGGAACAGCATATTAATTTTATAACAAATGCTTACTTATTTTATCATTTTAAGGGTAAATTCAGAATACAATTAAAACACTTAGAACGGTTTGTTTCTTAGAGTTGTACATAATGTTCTCCTCTGCTCCATATACCTACATAGCCATAAAAAATAAAATGTATGGCAACCCTGTCATATTAGAATCTCATATAAAAGGTTGTACTTTGTATACATTTTTCATATTATGCAAAGGTGGGATCTGGACGGGGTAGGTGTAAAGTGCTCTCTTTCCTCTGGATTCATTAAAACTATTACACAAAAATGACCTAAATTATTTACCCTCAGGCTCCAATTACCTTCATCATTATTGATTAAATTTAACAAAGTCACCGGCAACATCGGCTTGTTCCACTTATCCAAAATCGTCTTAAATTCGTAATGTAACTTGTCACTTCCCTTATTAAACAGCGTCGTCTACAAGAAGCTTCACAGAACAAACGATCGGGGCTAAAACACCAAACTTACCACGTTATCGAGTTCCACACTTTGCGGAATGTGCTTTTCGAAATATTTCTGCGCGACCGCAAGCTGATTTAACGACTGCAGGTAAGTGTGCAACTTTTCCAGGTTGTCGCAGTCGACCGAGGGGCCTTTCTCGATCACGTCCTCCACCAGCGAGGAGACTTCGTAGTAATTTATCACGTTGTCCAATGCTTGTAATGTACGCTCGATATCTGTAAGGAATAAGTGGAGAAACAAACGTGTAGAAGGGCGCTTACTGTATTGGCATTTCTGTAAGTTTTCAGTCTCATTGTAGACGGGAAGGATGGTGTCTTCCAGCCTGGAGAGACGTTGTTCGAACGTGTTTAAAATTCCATCGATGCCCGTTGTGATTTGTGTGCTTTTAGTGATTCGTTCCTTTAGAAGGTCCAAATGGCTTTGCTCTTTTTCCAGTTTGTTTTCAATTTCTAGCTTATATTCCTCTACGTTTATCATTTTTCAATATTTATTATGTTTTGAGAACAAAACAAACATAACCTCTACTAGTTCTTTCATGACATTTGGACGCATTCAATTCAATGACATGTTTTAGAATTTTGGATACATTCATTTAAATTTAATGCTTCAGTATACATAGCGATAAAAAATAAGTCGCCTTTGGAATTTTTTGTTTATATGGGAACTATATACTCTCGGGAAATCGTACCTAACTTGAACTTCCAAAGGCGACTCGACAGTCACCCATTTTTGATCGCCCGATATTCTAAAGTTCCTGATTCTAATATACCTATTCATAAAGGGAGCCCGACCAGGCAGCACGCCAAGGGCCCATTGTGTCTACCCCCTTTCCTTCACAACTAAGTTCAGAGCCCGTTCCTCTCAATAAAGGATAGGACCCTCCCTGGTTCCAGGTACGTAACTGATTGCAGCATGGAGCTGATGTCTGGTTCTGATCAAGGCGTCACAGTCACAGACCACATGGTCCACGTGGTCTCTCCTACAAGCCCAATGTTATGCAGGTGATCTGACTGTCTGAGTCTGTACTGTCAGCCGACAGAGCCACAGAGCCTTTATAAGCGCCGCCTGATTTATTGGAATAGATACCCTTAGATCATATGATCTAAGCAGATACCTAGAGTATAACGCCATTTTGTAGAAACAAAAATGGGTAACACTGCGCACGAAATTTAAAATTGGCGCCACCGCTTCGAATTTGAAGTTTGTTTGTATTGAAAGTTTAATCAATAATTGCGAGCGTCATGCCATTTTTTAACAACAAATTCTCGCCCAAAAAATCAAAGCTGCGTAAAAGCGCCCTATCGTTAAATAACGAAAACTTAGAGGATCTGATTGAAGATGATCGGACCGTCAAGTTACAATTGGGCGAGCACAAGATAAACTTTTGCAACGGCCGTTGGGAATCGGGTAAATACCTTTAATTCTGGCTTAGCTTTACGAGAGTTTGTAGGGTCCGAAGCGGCCAAAGACACATATAAAATGAATCAAAAATGTCAAGCAACTGAAGAGGAAAATAATTTACTTAAGTTAAAGATACAAATTCTTCTTAATATGGTAAGTGAGTTGTCTAGGGATTTAAAATATACATTAATACATTGCAGCTCACACAAGCTACTGCAGAGAATAACCTGCAACAACGCGAACTTAGCAGATTGAAGAAATAAGATTAACATCATAGATATATTTACAAATTGTACAAAAATTAATTACGTTGATTAGGGCAGTTAGTACGAATGTGACCTTCTTGTCGACATATCCCACATGTCTTTGGTTTCCGTTGTGTAGCGTTTTTATTATAAGGCTTAAGTGTACCAGTGCTTTTTGTTTTCTTTTTACTTTTCCAGTTGGTGTTCTTTTTCCTCCAATTACCTCCACCACCACCACCACCGCCACTGTTCCAGCTGGTGTTCGGAGCTCCTCCAGGGCCATTGTACGGATCGTGCCCATTATCGTTGCCGTTTGTACCATTAACCTACAAAATTGTTAAACGCAACAAGCTAAGTGACTAAAAAACGTACATCATCCGCCCATTTGAAAAATCTGCAACCTTCCCCCATCGGTTTCGGACAGCAAAAAAATCTCCGGCCCTTATTCGGCCCATCTTTGCTCACTATCCGTTCGGCAGCATCTAAATTACAATCGCACTTTAGCCCTCCTATGGTAGGTGCTCCGTTTTGTCGCACCGCGTTCGCGTGGGGGGCTGCGTTCTGCCGCATCGCGTTCGGCTCACTTTCGGACGCCCAAGCGAAATAATTGCACGACCTATTCGGACACGCGTAAAATTGTCGTCCTAAAATTTTACTTTACTTTCGAACATTTAAAGTGAGGGCAACTACCTTTGTTTGGACCTTCCTTTCGTACAGTGAGCAGCGTGGCTTCCTGATTGCAACTGCACACGTTCGCGTTTGGTCCGTTCGCGACGTCTCCTTGTTGCCCTCGAGGTGTGGGGGCGTCCAAGAAACTTCGCGGTCGAGAATTTGAAGTGCCCGGATTAGATGGGCGAACAGTTTGGGTTGGGCGCGCAGTTTGAGCGGGCATGGGAAAAGTGGGCGCGTTTGAGTATGAAAGCGATGCATTAGCATCATCACGCGTATCATTGGAAGTTGCTTGACGAGTGCTGGTTGATGGTTGAGAGGAGGAATTGGTTCTGTTTGATCCGGTTACCCAATTATTTAATGTACTCTGATTGGGCGCAACGTTTCGGTTGTTAGTTGGTGCCCGATTCGTACTGGGCGCATTCGTCCTATTTGCTGCAAAATTAAGGGTAGATACTCATTATGAAGGCGTAGTCCTGTTTGTTACATTTAACTGGATATTAGTCCCAATTTCCTCTTTTAACTGTCAATTAGGCTTATTTTATAGGTAGGATTTTGCCTAGATTGCGCGCACGTCATCAATTCTGTTTTTGGGGAATATTGTAATGCCAACGTATGAACAAAATTTAAAAAAATCGTCGCGTCTTTGGTAAAAAAGCTCGATTTTTACCAGGAAAGAAACAGGAAGATAGGCGAACAAGTAAGTTAATTTTTTGTTAATTTAGTTTATGTATGTGTGTGGGCTATGCCAGGGTTTTTGTCCCAAAGAAGGTTTCCCTGACATCGCTTGGTTGTGTGCGTAATATATTTGATATGATATTCGCATGATGCTATGTAAACATACTTAGAGATGACGTCATAACACACCGAGACGTGCGCACAAGCTAAAGAAGATCCTACTAATAATTGGGAGCTTTGAACATTAAAAGTAGCATTTAGGTCAAACTTTTAGTTAAACGAAACAATTATACGAAGAATTATGCCCGTTGCAAAACTTACCCCCTCTTACTGACGATGCGCTAATGTTCAATGTATCCAAAACAATATTATCGCACCCCCCAATACAAATAGTGTTTGGGTTCGGCTCGCCCAAAAACGGATTGTGCTTAAACTTCACCCTTAACTTCTTAACCGTAGGTCCACACTGTAACGATAATATTCCTCAGAGTGCACATTACAAAAAACGCTCTTACAATATTACAACTTTCCTCGAGCACCTCGATCGTATCGATCGAAACCGGAAGCCAAATTGCATTTTTACACTGAGGATACGAGGTACAACTCAAATACTTCCCTGTGCCCGTCTTGCGATTGCGAATAACTAAATCGCCGTTACACTTGGGGCATTTCATGACAGGTCTGAAATCGTCTTGCGGGATCGCCTCGTTCTCCAACGGGCGCGGTCTGTCCTCCAGCCGATTTCCTAGGCTGTCGTCGATTTCCAAAATTCTTTCGGTTACAATCCCAAACACCGCCCTGTATTTTTCGATTTGCTCGCGACGCACCGTTTCGGGATTTTTGTGACCGTCGCAGATTAGTTTTAAATCTTTCTCAAAATCTGCACGCAAATTGGGTTTGGCTAAAGATACCTCTAGACCAATCCGGTTGTACCTTTAATAGTGACAAGGTGAAATGAGCAATTAGGTAAATGGCAAAATTCGCATTAATTGATTCTATTTTTGTATGTATTTTTTTCCCCTTTTCTGTTTTTTTTTTGGTGGAAATAAACATTATTATTATTAATATTATATATTTAGGAGCAACAGAATTTGAGAAAATATTAGTTGTAATTTCCCATGTGCGATATGAATCAGCTTGTGACACCCTGTATATTAAAAAGCACTCGCAAAATACTCAAACCGTGAAGCTTATTTGAGGCAAGACAATAACAAAACAGTAACAACAAAAAATATATCCTCACCCTTCAACCAATCCCATTCCGAGCGTGCCCGGAACGAAATAAATATTCTCGTGTAATCCGACGTACTCGCGCGTTTTAATTGTTTCGATATGCTCAGCGTGAGTCGCGTCGGTTCCGATACCGTACTTTTCCATAAGCGCAATTAAATCGGCTTCGGTAAGCAACTTAGGCGGCGATGTGGTACTTTCGGCCTATAAAAGTCGCTTTTACACCAGCGCAATTTACACGAGCCCCACTTACCAGTGAAAGGTTGGACGGCATGAAGGTTTCGCCGACCCGGTACTCGTGTATCTCCTTCGCGTTCCATCGATCGTAGGTGTAGACGTCCAGGTAGTTTCTTTCGAGTATAAACAAACCCTTGGCGAGAAATTTTTCGTCGGCGATATCGACGTGTACGACGGTTTCGTGTCCCATCGCGTCTTTACTGACGCAGGCCAGAAAGTGTCTTACGATGTACTCGTAAATTCGCTGCTCGTTGCCGTTCAAGTTGTTGGCGTACTTTGTAGGGTGAATGGGAGGGTGAGCCTACAGGAAAAGCTTGTTAAACGTAATATTTATTGCTATAGTGTGAAGAGGCTGTAAAGTTGGCCTCCCTTATTTTTAAAAATGATCTTTAATGACATTATTTTATAGCAGATGTTTAATTAACATTTTAATAGGTTTGAATGAGTAAGATAAGTCGCTCTCTTATTTCAAATGGGACGCGGAGCACGAAATAAAATGAAGTTCAGAACATGGAGAGGGGTAGCTCAATTCATGCTGCAATTAACACGTTCACCACACCGTACCTGATCAGATTTACGCCCTTGTCTCGGATTTGGCCCACCTTCGTTGAGAACACGCTGCGCGAAAGGCCCCCATCGATTATCGACGGTCTGTTGTTCCACCAACGGCACCAAATTCAGTTCTCTCGGGAAAATATTCGTTTCCGTACGTGGATAACTTATAAGACCTTGCGTGTATAATTTCTCGGCGATTTTCATCGTGTCCTTTGCGTTTATTCTCAGCTTGCGAGATGCCGTCTTTTCCAATTCGACCGTGTCCAGCGGCAAAGGTCGCCACTTGCTTTTCGACTTGCTCTCCACCTCTTCGACGGTTGCCTGAGGATTTTCCTGGCATATATCCAGAATTGCCTCGCAGGCGTTTTTGTCAAACAGACGGTCGCGCTTCCAGTTAAAATCTACCGTCAAGTCTTTCATCGTGTGGTTCACTACAATCAATGAAATTAGTGTACTCCAATAGTGGGATAGTGATAATTGAAGGATAGACCACCTTGGTAGCTTAAAGTCAGCGGTAGATGATACAAAAAAAGACAGAACCACAGTTTCTTTGGTCATTTCACTAGTTTTGCATATACACTGTGTCCAAGATATGGGTGTTATGGGTTCTATTAGAAAATTTTTTTCCGGGTCGATCTGAGAAAATTTTTTTTTCGGGACTCAAAAAAAGGCAGTGTATTACCTTCCTTTTTTACCAAAAATCGACTGCACCAAAATTTTTCGGGAAAACACTTTTTCTTATTAATTTTGGTGCGTAGAATCCAAAACAATTCGTACTTTTTCGATCAGACTTCTCAATCAAAAGTTATAGACTAGAAACCAATTTCGAAAGAAAATTCAAAGGGCTGTAACTTTTGAACTAGTAGCCCAATCTTGGAACTGTTTGAAATTATGGATTCTACAGGCCACATTCTATTAGAAATTTTTTTTTCCGGGTCGATCTGAGACAATTTTTTTTTCGGGCCTCAAAAAAAGGCTTCCTTTTTTGCCAAAAATCGACTGCACGAAAATTTCTCGGGAAAACACTTTTTCTTATTAATTTTGGTGCGTAGAATCCAAAACAATTCGTACTTTTTCGATTAGACTTCTCAATCAAAAGTTATAGACTAGAAACCAATTTCGAAAAAAATTCAAAGGGCTGTAACTTTTGAACTTGGAACTGAATCAAATTATGGATTCAAAAAAAGACAGAACCACAGTTTCTTTGGTCATTTCACTAGTTTTGCATATACACTGTGTTCAAGATATGGGTGTCTATCATGGGGATCTCAGAAGCCAATGAAGGTCATGGTCCGATTACTTTGGAAGATATGCCAGAAAAACCGAAATTTGCCGATTTAGTTTTCATTTTTTTTTGGTGTTATTTAAACAGATACAGAAAAATAAAAAACCCTTTCTTATTGACTCATTTTGAGCTCTACAAGCCAATTTTGAGAAATTTTCGATACATGGTTTCGTTTCAGAGAAATCACCATCAACTTTATTTTTTTATATGGCCCGTAAAAAAAGTACATACTGTATTGAGTAGCTTGTTCATTACAAAACACCCATGTACGACCCGCAAAAAGAAAAGGTTGGAAACTATTGGTTTCAACAGGATGGTGCACCCACCCACAACACTCTAAATGATGAGATGTTTGTATAAATATATCGACCATTGGGGACCGATACATCGCTATCGCTTGATCCTTAATGGACACACAAGAAACCATTATTTATGGTTAAACAGTTGATCACAATCACAGTTTGCGCATGCGCATATTTGATTTATACTGTACTATTTACTCGGACGGCCGGACAGCGAAGAAAATGACTGTAATAGCGCATCCAGACCCCCCTACATTTTACCTAGGAGCTTGATGGGAAGAGATGCTCCATGGGAAAGGAAGGTTCGACGCACCATTATAAAAAACTATCAGGGAGGCCTAGGGCTGAACATTTTACAGGGGTCTGGGGGTATAGAATAACCCCCAACCACTTCCTCTAGAGCACGAAAATCTTATGCTAATTGTAGGAAAAGGAACATCAAATATTCCCTTTTTCCTGGGGGGTATTCCATATCCCTAAGACCGCCCGGTTCCACTTTCTCCCCCGAAATATTTAGTGCTTTTCGAACTTTTGAATCATACTTTTTAGAAAAGGGCCTTCGAAAGTATCACTAGAAGCCTGTGGGGGAAGGATGCTCCTTAGGAAAGGAAGATTCGATGGTCCGTTATGAAAAACTATCAGGGAGTCCTTAGGGCTGAATGTTTTGAGAGAATATATGTAGCACCGGGGGGTGGGAATGGAATAGCCCCCAGCCATTGCCATACCAAATAAATGGGCTCTTAGCAATAAAGCATGTACTAGTACATATTTCTGTAAATATGTGTTCCTAATACTTCCTGTATTGTTCACATAGTGAGTAATGTGGCAAAATGTCATATTCTGTGAGTGAAATGTCAGTGGATAACCCCCTCAAGTAAATAGTATATTAGTGTACACTACTCATATGTGATCTACCCTTCGGCCACAGTACTTTTAATCCTCCAAAAATCTTCCGGTACAAATTCCTCAATCGCATTGTACCGTTCGACCACAAATCCCAAGGTAGGAAATTGACACGAGCCGTAACTAATGAGTTTATCTGACAGCTTATCGGGAAATACCTTCTGAAACCTCAGCGTTTGTAACCTCGTAAACGCAGCACCTAAAGACTAACTCTCAAATGATAATGTTTCACTGCGAATTCTACCTGTTCTCAAATCAAGCTCCTGGCGAACATCAACGGCGTCGCTAATATTTTTATTCGGTTGTCCCAAAGTGTTTAAGGCACGAAACACCGAGGCGGCGGTAATTTCGGAAAACTTAGCTCTGTAGACCGGTATATTCGGTTTAATGTCGGTACAAACCTTAATGACCTCAAACCCGATGTTCTCCCCCTCTCGATCACAATCAGTCCATATAATTAACCCCTGACATTGGCGTATCTCGCGCTCGAGGGTCCTCTGCAACGATTCACTGTAAAATACACTTCGACAAAGTACCAAAGCACTTTAATATTATCGTAATTCGCAGGGCATTGTTTCACGACGGGCGCATCGAATAACGCTACGGGATGACACGATTGCCACGCTCGGTAGGTCGTCACAAATTCGTAGTTGAGCAAATGACCGGAGACCGAAGTCATAACCATCCGGGCCGGTTGTCCGAAGATTGTGGTGTCAAATTCGTAAATTTTATTGTAGTTCGACAAACCTTCCCTCTGAAAGAAGGGAGTTGGAAGCGTATTCGGCAAACGGGTCTACTCACCCTGGTGGAGGCACCCCTTGATAAAAGAGCGGCAATATTCTTCGCCGCGTCATTTTTCTCAGCTACATTTAAATATTTCATTATCGGTTTCGCTTGATTCGTACATAATATTCTTACACTAGTCTTAATTACATTTAAGTAACAAAATAAATGCATTTAAACATTTTTTTTGAAATTTGAGGTTAGTATTCTAATAAACAATGGACTTCTTCCAGAATGGAGTCCATTGGAACTAATATATAATGTACTTTGAACTACTTACGTTCTTCACTACCGGGTGCTTATAAATCAATGTTCCAGTCTTAAAAACATTTTTTATGGCAAGTTTTAATATTTACAACATTTGTAACAAATTGAAAATAAACTCCTCAGTTTTTTTGTTAGAATTAAATACACATCCATTCCTTCTTCCATCGCCGGAGAGGTGAACGAAGCACGCAAGCAAGGGGAGTCAAGGGCTTTATATTTTTTTAATTATCACACGAAGAAAATTTGAGTTTCTTTTTTTTTAATTAAACCAAAAATTTGTTCTAAAAATCCCAAGGAAAAGCATCTTTTGCATTTCACCTTCTCACCATCTTTTTTACATGCATATTATATCTCCCTCATCTCTCCCCATCTTTATTGTGCGTCTTTACGCCTACTTCACAATCCTTGCTCATGAGTTCTTCGTACCCACTCCTTCAAGCTGTCCCTTCACATTCTGCTTCACGCCTAATAATTTCTGCATTTCTTTTACAGCAGCAAAAGTTCAAAAACTATTGCTCATTTTATAACTAGGAAAGTTACATTTTATTCTATTGGGATAGAGTGTCTTTTGTCGGAACGTTCACTACCAAACTGGTTTATGATCAGTACCTGCTCAGAGCAAGAGTAGCTTAAGTACCTTGGATGATGAAAATTAGGTCCACTGCTGTATATTGTAGTTCAAACGCACTTTAATTTTAATTTTAAAGCGGGTATATGTGGCATATTCAAAAACTACTCTTAATATTCACTTATAATTATTTATCCTGGGCAACAATAGACTTAAACATTGCAGAATTTCAGTATTTAGCAGATCACTTACATCCGGAAGAGTGCAGACGACTAGTCGCCTCCTTACACTTCAGCTCCTACAAGGAACCTAAAGCGCTCGATGTTGCCGAAGAAAACGTGTCCAAAGACATACCGTGCATTCGACTTTTACTACACTGGAATTCGCAGAAGGGCGAAGGAAAGGGGGAGACGCACGAAGTTGTCCAGCACCGTTTGCGTCAACTGGGACGGGCTGATTTAGCAGACTGGTTAGGTAAGACCGTATTTCACGAGCTGGGAGAGGAGCTAATGGAAGAACTAAAAAACCCGTTTGACACTGTCATTAACGTGACAGAGTAGGTACACTATTGAATTTTAACTCCAACCCTTAAGTAAATATTGCAGGCGTCAAACGTACAGAATGCCCCAAACTTTAAGTACAGAATACAAGTGGGATCCCACCGAATGGCTTGCCTTTGACACAATTTGCTGGGCAGTCATTATTGGACTCACCAGCTTTGCATTTTTTCTGCTAATCAAAGCTGCTTTTATATTATTCATGCGTAAAATCCGAAGGTTTCCCCCAAGAAAGTACAGAACACTACGTACCGACGAAGGCTCAGACTCTGAAGAATTATTCGATATAAGAACGCATAACAATAATCCTTAAGTCACTTTATTATGAATCAATAAAAATAAGAACGTACATTTTATTTAACTTCCTTCACTTGCAAACCTGCAAAAAAAAGAACGGTGTTACAATTTTAAAATTAAAAAATTGAAATGTTGCTAACGTAATTGGCGGTACAACTACTTTTGAAATTGTACCGAGGTAAGTATTAGCATTAGTCTCCCCACAGTCTTTCACGACATAAAACATTTTATACCATCGAAAAATAGTGGGCTACGTAATGATAACAACGACCCACCTGGTGGAAGTGACTGTTTCAGTTTCTCCGCCTTCTCTTTGTCCGTAATTACAAGTGTATACAAGAATCGTGAGCAGCGCACTTTGAACTTGACATTTTCAGGGTTCTTCTTTATCTTAACAGCTGTAACACAAAACGTTATGGAACAACTCCCAAGCGAAGGGCTACTCACATTTGGCATCCTTTCGCCTCGCTTTCAAAAGGAAGTCTTTAATTTCTGTAATTTCTCGCGGCTGTAAGTAGACAATTATTAAAGAAATCGCGGAAAATATGAGGAAACTTACCATTTTCTTGATAGCTGGTATGTAGAACTTAACCTACACCACCTGCAAATACAAAATTTTTTAATTAAATTCTCTTTCATTTACAAAATTTTGTTGTAGACGTTTAATTATGATTATACTTTAATGGAAAATAGCAAACATTCTTTTATATTTAATGTAATTTAGGGGATGATCGTAGAGGAAAGTAATATTTTTTAGCACATACCTTTTCTAATTTTTCCTATTGAAAAAGGATGGAAGTAAACTTCCTTGAAAGAGAAAGACCCGTTCGCTTACGCAGTGTCTGTGGATACTGATCCGTCTGATAAAACTTACGCCGGATTCACACGAGTAATATTACTAAAGTTGCAAATACACCTTTACCGAGATTCAACAGAAATAATAACATACTCTTGCTGGGGTACTTTATTAGTATTTGATCTAGCTATTTTAAAGCTCACAATTTAATCTTCGTTTTCGCCCAAATTTCCCAACATGCAATGGACAAATTGCTTCTTTTGGAGGTCTTGCCTCCTTATATCGAAAAGCTTTGCAAAGACACTTATTTGGAAGGTGGAATACTGAAATAAAGCCACATACAAAAATAAAGCTTTTATTATAAGAGAGTACAAAACAGTTGGTATTTATTTATAGGGAAGGTTTGACAAACATATATTAGCATTTATGTTATCTTCATAATCTCGTCATATCCAGCCCAGTTGCACCGATTTACTCCGAAAACCATAGGATAGATGTCCCGTGCCATCACCATTACAATTCACCGTCTAATGCTTTATCCATTTCGCTACCATCACTGCAACTTCCTCGGGATGCCTCAAAACAAACGCGTGCTCGAAGTTGCGAGTGCAAATCTCAGCATCGATATCCGGAATGTCCCTTTTCAGCTGCTTACAATATCTCTGCGGCGACCACCCGTCGTTTGCGCCGTAATACAGCTTGATTTTCGTCTTGTTCTCTAAAAGCACGCCGGTCTCGCGTTCCTTTACGTTGTGCATCTCGTCCATTGCCAAATAAAAAACCTTATCTATCACGTCTGGCCGTATGAAGTTGATAATTGTCCTCATGTGCACGTTTAGTATGGAGTAAAACAGTACGTACCCTTTGATGAGTGAGAACTGTAGTATGAACGGAAGTATGGTGAAAATCCATGCGAGGAATAGTAATATGCGAATGAAGTACTTAACAACGTTCACCATATACCAGCCGTTCTCGGTCTGGGCCAAATACTCGATTGCGGGAAACAGCAGATACGCGCCCTTTGTATTCGATTTCACCCACGATTTCTTTAAAATGTCTAAAATTACATAGGCACCGATAGAGTGACCTACAAAGTAAACTCGCGCATTTTTCGGCACGTACGTGTCAATGAAAGCCAGCTTGTGATTGACCTGCCCCTCAAGTCCGTATATCTTCTCGTTGTCCGTTAGGCGTGGCGCTTCTCTGAGTTTTGATTTCGGCAGTTCGTGACCGGCGTGACTTAAAATCCAGACGGTGTAGCCCAGTTCCTCGTGCAGCCTCTTCAGGAACGACGTGTAGAATTGTGTTACGCCCGGATTTCCTGGAATGAACAGCACTAGGTCTTCGGGTTCACTCTTGTTATAAGATTCTTCCACCCATCGACCCCAAGTTTGTACTCTTGTAGGTACACCGTAGATATTTAAGTAAGCCTCTTGCATCTCTTCGTTTCTGCATGCAACAGCTAACTAATTGTGAAGAAAAGTGAAGAGTTCAACGTAACTACCTAACCTCAAACAACGGTACAATAACAGTCATGACCTGCCTTAATAGGCAGCTGTTCACCTTTTTACGGAAACGATTATCCACATAAACCGGATTGGCTGAAATCGTTATGGTACGATTCGCGTAATTATCGATCATTTTCGTCTCGGTAAACCACTTTTCGCAAACAGGAGTATCGAAAACTGAGAATCAAATCAAATTCAAAGTATTTTTCCGAATTTCCCCGATATTTAGACACTTTTTTTTTACGTATTGGCCATCTTTTGATATTTCATTCCATTCTTTTGAAAAGTAGTTCTGTAAACTTCACAGGGATGGCGCAACTATTACGACACGCCGATTTCGGACATTATGAGGAGTAATTTGTAACTCGCGCAATAAATTCGTAATTATGAGCAGAGCTGGGCAGTATTTGATTTTGTAAATACTTTTTAGTATTCAAATCCTTTAAAGTATTCAAATACTTTGTACTTAAATACTTTTATGGAAGCAGTATTTGTATTTGTAACTCAAAAACTTTCACAAATATTTAGTACCTATTCGAATACTTCGCAAGGTATTTGAATACTTTGAGAAGTATTCGAATACTTCGCATAGTATTTGAATACTTAACCTTCCTTTTTTTACCAAAAATCGACTACACCAAAATTTCTCGGGAAAACAATTGGTACTTTTTCGATCAGACATCTCAATCAAAAGTTATAGACTAGAAACCAATTTGGAAAGCAAATTCAAAGGGCTGTAACTTTTTTAGTAGCCCAATCTTGGAACTGTTTGAAATTATCGATTCTACATGTTATATACTGATTAATTTGCACCTACCTCTTGTCGCGTACATCCACGTGACTTCTGTCGTCGTGACTGTCTTTCCGGTTCCGGTGTACGAGACCCGTGCAACGTTGTCACGTTTACCTTATATTACATCCCCCCTTTTTATGTCTTAAAGTTCAAAGTCTTTAGAATAGTTTATCAGGCAAGTTCGGTTTCACTTAAACAACTGATTTAGAATTGTCAACTTAATACTATAGTCTTGTCTTTATAACTACGGGTTTATGGCACTAATGACTACAAGCAAGGTTTCCACACTCACAACGAGACCTCGGTGGCCTTACCACGCGACCCGATCTGGTTGTGTAAAACTGTTGCTCTGCTGGAATAACACCTCGAGTTACACCATTGTCTTCGTTTGACTGGACATAATCATTTCCTACCAGTGGACGCTGTTCAGTCTCTTCCGTCAGACTTCTCTCTTCCGCTCTTCCTCCCCGTTTTAGATCTTCCTGCGTTGACGTCCGGTCTTCCAATTCTTCCGGCCATTCAAACAATTCGTAAGGGTAGCGGTTTAATGTATCATTTGCTGTATCATTTGCCTTTATTAGGTGAGATCTATTTCGTCGATAGTGCTTGTTATCAGTTATTACAACGTATGATCTTGGTTCAGGTCCTTCATTGACCACCACACCGTATTTCTTTAAGTTTGTAATCCAAACTCTATCGTTAACATTTAAATTTTGAACTACTTTGGTTCTGTGGTGTTTGTTAAAATTATCAGTGTATACCTGAATCTCAATTTTTCTACGCCTAATATAATCCGGTAAATAGTCCCATTTAGGAATTAGATTCATTTTATTTGTTGGTAAGGTAGTACGGGGTGTTCTGCCCATTATTAGCTCTGAAGGGGAAAATCCACACTGAAGTTTGGTAGTCCTGTAGCTTAACAATCCTAAATTTGGGTCATTTGATTTTAAAATAATTTTCTTCGCAATTTTAACGGCCGATTCTGCTTGACCGTTGGATTGGGGATACAAGGGGCTACTTGTAACATGCTTAAATCCGAACCTTTGGGAGAAATTCTTAAAAAGTTGGTTGTTAAAACAAGGTCCGTTGTCTGAACGAATCTTTTCTGGTATTCCCCACCTTGCTAAGAAAGTACTAAGCTTTGCAATGACTTCTGAGGCAGTAGACTTGCTACCTCTATGTATCTGGAGAAGTAATCTACTACAACCAGATAATGTTTCTTGTTAGCCTCGAACAAATCCAAAGCTATGATTTGCCAGGGGTATTCGGGCACTTCTGAGGCCATAAGCGGCTCTGTTGGTGTTATTCTGTGTTCGATACACTTCTCGCAACCAGTTACCTTATCATCGATGTGTTTAGCAATACCGGGCCACCAGATTGTTTCCTTGGCTCGTGCACGACATTTTATGATTCCAAGGTGTCCCTCGTGTATTCTGTTCAGCATATCTGGTCGCATTCTATAAGAAAATTTTTTTTCCGGGTCGATCTGAGACAATTTTTTTTCGAGGCTCAAAAGAAGCCAGTGTTTAAACCTTCCTTTTTTTACCAAAAATCGAACTAGTTCAAAAGTTACAGCCCTTTGAATTTTCTTTTGAAATTGGTTTCTAGTCCATAACTTTTGATTGAAAAGTCAGATCGAAAAAGTACGAATTGTTTTGGATTCTACGCACCAAATTTAATAAGAAAAAGTGTTTTCCCGAGAAATTTTGGTGCAGTCGATTTTTGGTAAAAAAGGAAGGTTAAACACTGCCTTCTTTTGAGCCCCGAAATAAAAATTGTCTCAGATCGACCCGGAAAAAAAATGTTCTTATAGAATGTGGCCTGTAGAATCCATAATTTCAAACAGTTCAAAGATTGGGCTACTAGTTCAAAGTTACAGCCCTTTGAATTTTCTTTCGAAATTGGTTTCTAGTCTATAACTTTTGATTGAGAAGTCTGATCGAAAAAGTACGAATTGTTTTGGATTCTACGCACCCAAAATTAATAAGAAAAAGTGTTTTCCCGAGAAATTTTGGTGTAGTCGATTTTTGGTAAAAAAGGAAGGTTATACACTGCCTTTTTTTGAGCCCCGAAAAAAAAATTGTCTCAGATCGACCCGGAAAAAAAATTTTCTTATAGAATGTGGCCTGTAGAATCCATAATTTCAAACAGCTCCAAGATTGGGCTACTAGTTAAAAAAGTTACAGCCCTTTGAATTTTTTTTAAAAATTGGTTTCTAGTCTATAACTTTTGATTGAGAAGTCTGATCGAAAAAGTACGAATTGATTTGGATTCTACGCACCAAAATTAATATGAAAAAGTGTTTTCCCGAGAAATTTTGGTGTAGTCGATTTTTGGTAAAAAAGGAAGGTTATACACTGCCTTTTTTGAGCCCCGAAAAAAAAATTGTCTCAGATCGACCCGGAAAAAAAATTTTCTTATAGAATGTGGCCTGTAGAATCAATAATTTCAAACAGTTCCAAGATTGGGCTACTAGTTCAAAAGTTACAGCCCTTTGAATTTTTTTTCAAATTGGTTTCTAGTCTATAACTTTTGATTAAGAAGTCTGATCGAAAAAGTACGAATTGATTTGGATAAGTATAAGGGTAATGATTACGTTGAGGTATAAATGAATGTGTGAATATTTTAATATGAAAATACTGTTTTTACGTTAATAAATGGTACATAGAAATACTTTGTTTTACAATGAATATTTCCTCACACATGAAAGTTGAAGGTTAAAGGTGACTTTACGCCAACTCTTCAGTTACCTATCTCGTATGAAATTGCACGAAGAGCATTTTCAGCTAAACATATATCATCTAGCCCTGAAGGTCGCGATATATTTGCAAAAAACCGCAAAAAAACACGAAAATTGATGATTTTTGCCTCCTTTTATGAATTTCCTAGGCTAAGAGGTACACCTAGGCTAACTTCTGAGTATCTACCTTGCATAAAATTTCCCGAGAAATATTGCTAAAAATATTTCATATAGACCTCATAGATCGCGAGATATCAGCCAAAAAGAGCGAAAACACGGTTTTTGGGGGATGGTGGGGTGGCTGGAGCCTTTAGCACAGGGTCTGGAGGATGAGATTTTTAATATGTTGTTTTTGACACCTAACTGAACATATTCCACCATTTTTTTCTTTTCCACCTCAAAATGTCCAGTTTGCCAATTTTACAGTCTCTATCGCCTAGACTACTAGTCGCATTAAAAACTATGAATTCAACACTAATTTGTACCCAACTTAGATTTTCATTGTTTAAACGATTTATATAATTATTTTTTTTCTAAGAAAGGACAATTCTCGGAATTAGCAAAAAGAAATGCAACGTATAAATTAAGAACTAACATTTTTTTGTAAACAAATTATATTGCTAGGAAGTCGTCTGAGCCAGGGCGTATATTGGGAGAGAATATCCAGGTCGAAAGAATGTAGTGTGTTGAATTAGTAACGATCCTCGAAATAGTTTATAATTTTGTATTGCGGTCTGCCTATCTGTCCGTTTGTATCTCTGTCCATGTGCAGTTGTGCACAATAACAATAACTGTTTAGAAACGCCCGATCGCCTTGAAAATTGGTAAACATGATCTTAAGAATATAAGAAAGGTCGCTATGGTTTTTCAGCAACGTATACTATTGGGCCAAAAAGTTATTATAAAAATGATGGATGCGTGAAGATCTGGAGGTTATAAAGTTGATGACAAACTCACATGGATAGCAAAAACCCGAAGTCTCGAGGTGGCCGAGGAGCCGAGTCTCGATCGAACAGACACACGACGGAAAATCGAGCACATAAAAACTAAAATTATAACTGTATATGAGAGATTTTGACAGATTTTAGGAGATGATTTTTAGCGGTCTGTCTTTACATAAGTTAGAACTAGCGTGTAAACTTATATCATACGTCTATTGAACGGTCCATTCTATTTTTACGTAATTTTTAGTTAGAAATTTATTTTATCTTTCATTGGTGTTCTAATGAAATGTCTCAATGAAAGGAATTAGTTTCTAACAACCACTTTTCTCCACCTCGAACCCATAACGTGATTGGTACTAATATCTCGAGTGCAGTGTCGGAGGAGGTACTCACAAAGGGCGATTGGTACGTTTCATTAGTGATGTCAAAGTTAAGAGCGAATATCTCGCAAAGTATCAGAAGGGGATACTCATAAAGGGCAAGGGGAACGTCTGACCGAGACACATCTGCTCGTGATGTTAGAACATTCACTGCCAATATCTGCAATGTGAATATCTCTAAAATGGAGTGTCGACGGAAGTAATTTTTCTAAAATCTTCTGGCATTATATAGCGGATATTTTGAATTTATGCCAGGCGGCCAGGTTTATTACCTTATAATCAGTTTTCCGGCGGAACCAAGCGGGTACAAATTCTAATGTTAAGGATACCAATTAGTCTTTACTTTATACGTTCCATTTCTTTTTATTAATTCTGAGAATTTCCATTTTATAGTAAAATTGTTTTAAAAAAATGTATAAATTGTTTAAACAATGAAAATCTAATTTGGTTATAAATTAGTCTTTCATTCGTTTTTGCGGCCACTAAAACAATTTCAATCGGGAAAAGTGGGAGTGCTAACCTGATTTCAAGTTAGCATCCCCACTTTAAAAACCGGTTTTCCGGCAGAACTAAGCGGGCACAAACTCGGGCACAAACTCGGGCACAAATTCTAATTTTGTGGGTACAAATTAGCCTTGGATTTGTCCTAAATTATAGTCATATTTTTACTTGATTTGGGCAAAGTAGGGGTGCCAACTTTATCGACCTCTCATTACGAAAGTTACACATAATCGCTCAACAATGTTCAAAATTTATTGTAGAAAACTTATCACTGAAAATAACTGATATATTATACATTTTGGGAAAGCTCTTAAAACAATAAATCAATAAATCCATTGTAAACTGTTCAATTTAAAAAATCGATTTCGAGTTACAACGCAGTTACTAAAATGACTAAACACAAACGACTGACGGCATTGATGTCTACGTTAAAAACAGTCTGAATAATGCTAAAGCCATTTTCTTCTAGCTTTAAAAATAACGGAGTTACAGCAAATTGAAAGAATTCGCCATTTTTCAGTTTTTCTCTATCGTGAAAAACCAAAAGACGGTAGCTTATTTCTGGTAACGTTAATGGAATAAGCATTAAAAAAAGGTCACGAGTACATAAACCGTTTTGGTTTATCTGCGCTAATAATACAGATAGGTACTCATTTAATCCCATCGAAATTGGACCACACTGTACACATAAGTAACGTACGTACGTACACACAGACGGAAAAATTTTGTTCTTTAAAAGTTGCTTAAAATGTCGACATTTGATGAAATTTTGTGCAAAAAACGGCGATGGCAATATCCACCTAGCTCAAGCGAGTCATGCGACAAATGTGAATTGCCCATTGACGGGATGAGCACTTTAAATTAGCAGGACAAATGAGCACAAAACGTGAATAAAATAAAATGTTTAAAATATCAATGACACTACAGTCAATAGCTGGAGGCATATACCAAAAAATTTTGAAATATCGATACCGTGTCTCGCACAAAATTATAAATGAGCACAAGATTATAGTAAAAGAAAATATCATTCATACCCTATGCGAGGAGGAGCATTTTATGACTCGAATGGTCAAATGGAATTATAGCAAAGTGGGTGAGTGTTTCTTTATAATATTAAACGCCGTACGCAAATTTATAGATCTGCCACTGGCTAATGAAATCAATTAAACATTTGAGTATGTTCCTATTTAGTCCCCTATGAGAAGAATAATAGTAGGTATACCACGAGGTATACCATCATTACCTAATTAAATAGGTATAGGGTGATATATATTTAACCTACTTCCTAATCGAAGCAGGGCGACAATGTTTGGCAAAAACCATTTGCTTTTCATAGTGCAAGGTTGTACTGCGTAATCTTAGAGATAAAAACTTAAAATTTATATATTCTTGTACCCTCTACAAACTTTTAATTATGGTAATGACAATGCTTAGCGCTCTTCTCACCATTGCCTTCTTCGCGCCCGTATTCTGTGGTACCGGTAAGTCATACCATATACAGATAGTTTAGATAATACATGTGCCAAATAGCGGAAGTGCGCCATTTCTAACAGAATACCACTGAACAAGTGAACACCAGTGACTGACTGAAGTTAACACAGAAAACAAAGCCTTTTCTATGGGGGCGATTCGCGTTTTCCTAATTTGACACCTTTTGTATTCAATTGTATTTTTTTAAAACCACTTAGTGGTAAAAATCGCGCTGCTGTTGGTTGTTTTTAAAAGACAAACGAAGAAATAACAAAATTTGTAATGCTGTATATAGAAAAATGGTCGTATATGGTAGTTGCTGGTATTCCTGTTATACTTTTGGTTTTCTATGATACCGTAAATTGTCAAGTCATACTAAATATCAAAAACAACAGTTGTGTGTACGAAAGAATATCACATGTATTACAGGGACCATTACTTTATTAAAAAATAACCAATATCTATTATGCCAGAGGGGCGCCGTTTCATACCAATCGAGAATGATCCATACAGAACTCGGAATTTGTATTATTTCAACGGGGAAAGGGATTTAGTTGAAGATTTGGCTGATGCTACGTTGGAAGCGAGAGCAGATATTCTCCTAAGTGACTTGGCCCTATACCTGTATACGAGACGAAACTTAGGGTCTGGTTATAAAGTAAACATGACTCAAATTAAAGATTTGAAGATTTCCCAGCTCTACCAACCTATAAACGACAATTTCTTCATAATCCATGGCTGGCGAAATTCCTACCTATCCAAAGTAAACACACTGCTCACGGAGGCTCTTCTGAAAGCGAGCGACATGAACGTTTTTGTTCTAGATTGGTCTATTAGAGCAAACGGATCGTATGTCAAAGCATTTCGGAGTGTTGAAGTCGTAGGTTCTCATCTGGCAAGCTTTATTAGTGCACTGCTTCGAGAATTTCAATTAGATAAACGTTCAGCTGTACTCGTGGGTTACAGTCTTGGGGCTCATATTGCGGGATGCACAGGTGCTGCCGTCAATGGTACGTTGAGGAATATAGTAGGGCTTGATCCGGCAGGCCCACTGTTCACTCTGACGAATACCAAAAACCGTCTAGATAAAGGGGATGCCGAATTCGTGCAGGTTATACACACAGCCGGTGGGATGGCTGGATTTTTAAGTTCAATTGGCCACGCTGACTACTTCCCAAATGATGGGACACTTCCTCAACCCGGATGTGGAGCTGATCCGTTGGGTAGTTGTGCTCATGGTCGAGCGTTTGTGTACTATTCAGAGTCTGTTACTCGGAATGGATTTGCAGCTCTTCAATGCAGCAGCTATAAGATGTATCGAAATGGAATGTGCGCCCACCAGCATTTATCTTACCTTGGTGGACTACACATCGATACAAGGTATTAGATTATGTTTGATGTGATACTACTAAATTATTGTTTAATTATTAGCGCAAATGGAGATTACTATTTGGATACTAACATGAATGCACCTTACGGAAGTTAAACCTACTAGTGCGAAATGCCAATTTGAACCGAGACCTGCACCTTTTCTTGTAGTTTGACACTACCGATAAAACAGTAGTGTACTGTAAACTATTTATTTCAATTCTTCGTTAGTCACAACAGTGTAGACATTTTGCGACTTCCGCTATTATACCGTTAAATGTTGTTGTATTGTAGTAATTCCTCCTTTAAAAGATTTGAAGAAGAAATGCACGTAACAAACCACAATTTTTTTAACAGCGGATATCTAGGAATGAAGGAAATGTAAATCAAAATTTTGAACTCAACGTTAGAAAGTTAAAGAGAGGTAGGTATACTTTTACTTAAACATCGGTAATTACGGTGATCTTTTTACAAACTAATATATCTTCGTCTTCACGAATGAATTGCGGTTTATTCGTCGATTTAAAAGTTGTGCCACAATAACAAAAAAGTTTTGTTGTACATTAATTAGATAATTACATTCTTGGTGTGCAAAGGTTAAGTACAGATTATGCGTCATTGAAATGATATCTTGTGCTAAAATACCGGAAAACGTCAGTTAACCAAACCTGCAACAACCCTAGCAACAACCTCAATTTCGACCTCGAGTTTAACAACGAGACTGGATCTTCCTCCAGTCCACTATGTAAGGCAATTATGAACTTGCGCGAATTATTATTTTTTTAACTTAACTTAACCTTGACCGCTCCTTTGGCAATGACACCAAAACCCAAATTGGCGTAAAGTAAAGTAAAGTAAATTTTATTTATTTCATACTATCTAGTAATCGCCGCTTTCCCAGACTGATTTGAGTCTGGTAAATCGTATTTTACCAGACTGAAAATTTTTACCAGACTGGAAATTTTGCCTAGCAACCGCAACTGACATCCATCTAAACGTATGCATTGATATTTGTCAAACTACTGTCAGATCAAACAAATGAAGTGACTTTTGCTTTTATTTTAATGTGTACCTACAACATTCTACTCAAAATGGTATTTTAATAGAAATAGAGCAGTAAGTATGAAATAAAATGTTTTACATTATTTGTATGTCAAATCAGTTTACGTTACTCGTTTCGAAATTCCTGCCTCAGCTACGCTTCGGCAGTAAACATCTCACTCGTTAACGTAAACCTTGATTTACCATACTCATATGTAAATAACTATTATTTCATACTATCTAGTAATCGCCGCTTTCCCAGACTGATTTGAGTCTGGTAAATCGTATTTTACCAGACTGAAAATTTTTACCAGACTGGAAATGTTGCCTAACAACTTCAATTGACATCCATCTAAACCTATGTATTAATGTGTCAAACTACTGTCAGATCAAACAAATCAAGTGATCGACTTTTGCTTTCAATTGAACGCGTACACGTTCTAATCAAAAATTGTATGGCATTTTAATAGAAACAAGAGCAGTATGAAATAAAATGTTTTACATTATTTGTATGTTATAGTATATTAAGTATGGAGAACGGTAAGGGATTTTTACCGTTCGAAGACAATTGTTTGGAGGAGGAGCGAAGCGACGACTCCAATTATTGTCTGAGAACGGTAACCCTTAACGTTCGACGTGCTTATAACATTTTTTGCGCGATCGAAATTAAATTTATGCAACCAATATAAATATGCACTAAGAAATTAACGAGCAGAATAAATCGAAATGATCGAAGTGGTATGGTGTATATCACTAGGTAACCAGTTTATTTGTCAAAATTGAAGTTAATAATTTCATAAAAATGTGCATGTGTCTGATGTAGTTTACTAGCTTTGAACTTCCTTTATGACTTTATGAGCGTCTTGCTATAGGAAACAACAGCACAAATTGTACGTTTAATGTACCTAACAATAATTAAAGATTAAATGTAATGTAAGACTGTTGATTTTTAAAAAGGCGTCGGTAAGTATTTTTGCTGTTCTGTTTTTAGATCGGTAAGTAATTTTGACGTCGTCGTAATCATAGCAACTGGTAAATTCTACCTACTGTCATGGAAACACCCATGGTAAATAGTCAGAAATGACCGATCGCGCAAAAAATCAGTTAACGTTACTCGTTTCGAAATTCCTGCCTCAGCTACGCTTCGGCAGTAAACATCTCACTCGTTAACGTAAACCTTGATTTACCATACTCATATGTAAATAACTATTCCCACATTATACACATTAATGAATCTATACCATATTAACTAAACTGAAGTAATACAAATTATAGAATATCGTAACTAAATCAAAGTGTATTCTACAGAAATTCTGCAAAGTTTTCAAAATTACTGTTGTAAAATGAGACCTTTCGCCGCAGCCCTTGATATTCTTCCTGGAGAAACCCACTTTGGACTTACAACTTTAAGTTTTTTGGTTAATAAATAGGAAAGGATTAAATCAGAGCTCTAAAGTACCTAGGAACTCTAGTACTACTTTAATTTTAAGTGCATGTTTAAAAGCAACGATTCTTCAATTAGAGTACGGATCGCTCAATTAACCCTCCCCAAATTTACACTGCTATGTTTGTGTTGAAAAGTCACATACATAATACCTACTGGAGATTCTGCCAAGCAGATGGTCGTCCGAGTGGGAGAGCGGTTACTGAAGTCCGAAAATGAATGTGATCGTAATTACCTATAAACGTTGAGTGAGAAATAGTAAAGTAAAATGTAAAATTGCGATACGTATTCCCCATTTCATTGACCAAAGCTTCCTGCACCCCCTCGCCCCTCCACAGTGGGTGGGGTGTGAGTATGGTAGACGTGCGACTCTGATGCTTAAACGTCGCTCAAATACCAAGACCTCTGAAAATCGACTACTTTTTGCGAAGTTGCGGAGGTACTGACACATCTCGGTGCCTTTTTAACAAGTGGCGTATCCATATGTCGGTGCTTGAATAAGCCTCATGTAAATTAATCAAGTTGCGCCTCTTTATATTCCTCACTCAACGCTATAGAGGATAAACTACATTTCCACATTGAGTGGATAAAATATTAATATTAAAAAATGTGATGGAGAAGTGAGCAACTAGTGTACAGTGCAACCTTGCTAACCGGACCGTTCCTCAATCTGGCACGTTCGGTAATTCGGGGTCTCTGGGACAATATGTAATTTTTGATAAAATGTATATAGTAAAGAAACAAAAAAATTCCTAGTGTGAAAAATTACGTACTTGTGTATACTTTGTATTTCTTTGTATAATTTGTAAGCATTTCCCCTAGCATTTCCATTGTGTACATACATTCATGGTAAAATTGGCGATATTTTTATTACTCTCGATAAGCCGGATTTCAGTATTTCCTTGGGTGATGATAATACTGAAAACGAAATTAGAAAATTCGAAAGCTTTCGCAAATTATCATGTACACAAGCGGGCGGAGGGAAGGACAGAAAGTTTAAAATCATGAACTCGCCTAGGAGCTCGTCAATAAAGGAAGAAATGCAAGCGGTTGTATGTGGGGTGAGGTAATTGAAGCTCCATTTGACGCAAATCATGATATGTGTAAACCGAGGTGTAAACTAATAGCTGAAATTTGATCAAGTTATAGGAAACTATTTTAGTTTCAGTTATATGAAAACAAGTTGTAAATCAGCATATGCATGACTAAAGCGCATTTTTGGTCATGCAGGTCAGTATTTTATTAGCGAAGTTTAAAATTATCGATCTCAGGAGTAATTTTGGCTGCGTTAAATAATTAATTTGATTTAGTTTCAATTGAGTATACGTCTTTATTTTGTAAAACAAATCACAAAGTAAATAATAAGTTTTTATACTGGTAGCGCTATCTAACGGTAAAATTATAGCACCTCCGAAACCCATATCGAGATTATTTTCTTCACTTATCGAACTCACAAGTTATCTAACTCAAAATAGACTAGTGCCTGCACATCTACACTATAGCAGAAAGCTTTTAGTGAACATTTGAATTCTCTAGCTATTGTAGTTGTTGAGATCTCACGCGGACAGCCGGCCTGCCAGCCATAAGGAAAATAATTTTTTTCAAAAATTCACTTCTTCATTTTTAGTAAGGGAACAGTACTCGACTGACGGGTGTAATACAGTACGTATCATGCATATTTGACTACCCCAGCTGATCACTTTTCCCTCGACAAAAATGAAGTATTTTTTGTAAATCCAAACGACATCCGGTTATGTTTTTCTTTTATCATAGTCCATGGCTACTTAGACTAAAAGCTCGTGAAAACAGAATCTTTATAATTAATTTTTTCGCGTACAAGAAGAGGTAGAATTATCGTTTCGCATGATTTAGATGCAGAATTTATATCTCTATAACTTTTATTCGAAGTATTTTTGCGTAAGATTAGGAAACGTTTGCGCAAAGAAAAAGTAATTTCCCATGTTAAACGCCTATGTTCCACTTTTCGATTTACACCCTGTACAATGACCTACAGTAATTGCACAATTAATTACAAAAATTATAAACATTCTTAATTGTTTAATAGAACCATATAGGTATACGTACGTAGTACTTGTGCAAAATCAAAATCATGCCGAATTGCATTCGTGGTCATAATTTCAATCAATAGTGAACAAAACTAGACTTTTTTGTCAATAAATCGTAAAAATCGTAAAACTTTCTTTTGCTTGATGCCGAAATGTTGCTAAAAATCTTTTTAAAAAACCTTATCATATCTTTGGTGGCGCGGAATATTTCTAAAACTTTTTTGTTTCTTATGGTTAAAAAATATTCGTAGCAATAGTAAATAACTAATAGTAGTTTCATTAATCTTCTATAAACTTGACCTTTAACAAACCTCTCTTTCATATTATCCACTTGAGTAGTAGGTACCTCTGTGCTTTTATTCTTAAAAATATTCCTAATCGGCTTAGAATCTTCCTAAAAATGCATTTTATCCTATTTGAAACATTGTATTTCATAAACGTTCGAAGTCTCATTAGAAATCTGGAGCATATATTGCCAAAAAAAGGATATCTTTTATTAATATACAAACCAGTAAGTTTTAGATCGTGTTTGGAAGGAATTTAGTACTGTGCACGTTGACTAAAATCACTTACTTAAAATAACTGATTCAGATCGTCTCAATCCTTTCTGTTTATAGATAGTGTTTCCCATATTTGAAGCTAATATTCGAAAAACGTAAACATCGCTGGCCTCCATACTAAGACGTATATGTTTGTCCTTTAAATCGGGCTTACAGTTTTGGATAGTTTAAATAATTACAGCCCCAAACAAATTTTTTTTTCCTTTTGTAGGTACAAAGTATCAGATTCCTATTCGCAGCTTGTCGTTGGATACCATGTAGGTATACAAGACAAGTTAAAACGAGGGGAAGGTTCTGCAGATAGTAATATTAGGAACAATATTTATTCGTAGGCATTTAGATTACCAATTAGGGGGTAACCAATATTACATTATATATTAATTTGCGTTTAAATAACAGAACTATTGAGAACTCAAAACTCGAAATTTCTAAAATCCATTTATTTACATGCACCCTTAAAAATACTGCACCTGTCACTATAAACCTTTGTATGATTCGTATAAAGTCTCAAACGCATCAAACGAATCCAAAAAGAACTGCTCATCAATATTAAAACGTTGGTAATGGTGCAGGTACGCTCTACTGCCAAACAACGTCCATGCATCATCCAGCACTCCCTTTAGAGACAAACACGCATAATTGTTATTTGTTAAAAAAGTTACAAATTTTTTATTATCCTTAAAGCTTCTGATGTGATAAAAATTTGATAAACAGTACTGTGAAGGTACCCATCCGACGTACAAAGCGGAGTCGGCGATCTGTGATAAGTCATCAGCGGTAAAAGGCGTACTCCCTCGGCCGATCAGTGCGTTACCCGTACACTGCATCCTTCTGTTAAATTTTCCCAAATAGTCTTGCAAATCCGGTTTAATTGAATTTCTGATTTGATTGATAAGTACGGACCACGTTGTCGGAGCCTCGAATTTCAAATACTCCTTGGAAACGTGCGGGGCACTTTTCACTTGGATTAGCTTGAATATAGGATGGGGGGTTAAACTTTTATGTATGTCCCAAACACTTGTGTTTTGTAAGGGCTGAAACGTCGCAGCTAACTGTTGAGCAATCAGGCTGTTAATGTTCAGGAATGTGACGTTAGCTACCGATAAAAGCTTCGAGCACATCTTGTGCATGGTGTCGTTTTCGTATAAGTAAATTCCGTCAGTTACGTTGCATAATTTTGCCAGAGTTAGTAGGCTGTTATAGCTTTGAGTGACAACTTCACCGCGTTTGTACGGCAGCACAACCACGCCAGTGATGAGTTTCTTGGGGTATTCATCCCGGAGTATTTCGAGCGTCCTGCTCCCTACGCCCGAACCGGTACCACCAGCCGATCCCAAAATTCCCATGATACCCAAGACAGTTCCATCCCTTTCAATCTCCTTTCTCACTCCGTCTTGAATGTCTTTCGTTAACAGCTCGCTTTTCGTGGTATACCCGTATGCCCAATTATTCGCCGCTCCCCCATGCGATTTCGCCACGACGTTGCGAAATTTGTAATGACCATTGGCGGTAACGTTAGCCACTACTTTACTTTCGGTATCTATTAGTATTGATCTAACTTCCAAAGCTCCACTTTTGTTGACAGTGAACCACTTCTTCACCGACTCTGTCACATACTCAACGTTCGCCTTTTTACCGACGCCGGTTTTGGACACATCAGTTTTGATGTCGCTGTACAATTCTTCGTATAGGGCTTTTCCGATCTGATTTCCGCATTGCCCAAACTGTAACGTCAGAATGCTCATGGCCTTTCCATACCAGATGGTCCTAAATAGAGTAATGAGAGGTTATTGTGACTTAAAATTTTAACCCAAAAATTAAACTGTCATGTAAAATGAGAAAAGTTTGTTTGTGCATTCTATTACCAAGGAAAATTTTGAACAGTTGAGAGGAGGCGAGAAAAAAAGAACTCGCGAGGAATTTTGGATCCACTGCAGTCATTATCTGCAGTGCAATAGGTATTTGCAAAAACCAATTCTTCCTTTGACATTTGTGACATTTTAAATAGACAATTACGATTGATCTAGAATACGAAAGTGACGTCGTGTAATCAGTAAGCCAATTATTTCATTAGTGACCCTAGAGGTTTAATTAAATTTACGAATCTCTCAATTGACCGAAATAATTTTTAAGTTACAATACAAACACACGTTAAAACATAATCTACCTGCAGGATCCGCTACAATCGACTATATCCACCTGTTTGCTGGTATTTTACACTCACTCTGTTGTATATTGATCGTGGGGTTCAAAAGAAATTTACTTACACACGTGCAAGAACGATACAAACTGCGTTATCTTCGGGCGTAAGCCAAAATACGTTAAAACACTTTATTATTCAAACACGAGTTGTAGTGTTCTGCTATGATGGCTCGGAATGTAGTTGTATTAGATGGCGCCATCGTCACAGCAAAGCAAAATGGTTGAATTCTTATTAATTTCTGTATTTCTCTTCTTGTTGAGCAATAAGAAATTTTAAATAATGAGTAGAAAGCATTTCTCTACTGTAACAAAGGGTACATTCTGAAATTTATGTTAGGTCACTGTACGACATTTGCTAAAACATACATAAACGAGTATCACAAGATGGCAGCGTAACGTAGAAATCAGCATTGAGTGAAGAATCCTTCACTCAACGCTTTAAGTTTTCTTTCTTATGGCAAATTGTTAAGTTCAAAGCACCCAAGATTTGCATACTGCTAGTTGCCAGTAGAGTCAAGTACATACTTCTACTTTGTAGGTAAAACTATTTAAGCGATTTTAGCAGACACTTAACACAAAAGGCGAGGGATTTTGGTATCATTCCTCAAGGAAACCTGTACCTACTTGTAAATGCCTAGAACTTAAAATTTCCAATTGCAGCACTATACCTCAGTAATGCGAAGATTGGGAAACCTTAAACTTCCTATATTATCAAGTACCTACCTAACTTTGCACAAACGTAACCTGAATATTTTCAGTAGATTGTAGATTGTGGACGTATTCAAACTATTCAGATAGATATGAAAATTACCCATTATATAATAATCTAGCCCTTACAATCTTATGAGAAAAAATTGCTGGAATTTGCTTGTAGAACTATGAAAGATTAGCAGTTCATTTTACACAAGCGAACAATAGGATTCTAAATTGAAGGGGGCGTAGCGCCCCAATTAATTTCATTTCTGATGTGTAAAGTAGCAAACAACAGCTTAGATCCCAAATTTTCATCACCACCACAACAAATAACTCAAAATTATCTGACATTATTAATTACTCCCCACCCATAAGATTTGCCTTCTGATGGAAATATTCAATTATCATTCGTGTAATTCTTTTGCCTAAAGTCAAATATAATTTCATTCTTTCTCCCATCATCCAAACTACTGCGTTCTAACCAAGCTCCGACGCATTAGATCGTTCCTCTTTTCTTGTTTCAATTTCCCTGCCAAAATGTGTTGTCCTTTAGTACGTCTAATAAATCATTTTGCCCACGCCCTTACTCTCACCAATTTAGTCCAGTAATTATTTGGGTCCATGATATACCTAGGTACACATTCCTAGCTATCACTAAATTCTGTGCTGCTTTCATCTTTAGCTCTTCTCGATTTATTTTTCGAACGTTTTCCTTAGGCCACTCATTTTCTTATTTTATATTATTTTTTGACCTCTGTTCTCCGAGTATTTTCTCGATTACCTCCTCACAAATTGAATTCCAACCACAAAGATAAAACCCCCCTTTTTGTAGGATAGAGAATACTTCAATATACTTTGTGATGGCTTCTCCCTTAGTTTCAACACAATCTAGGTAATCATTAACGTAGAGTTTAATTTAATATACTACGGTACAGCTTCAGGATTTCTTCACCCACCCTCTCCACTATTCCTTTTTGAATACATTCATATATATATAAGTTACCTTTTTTCCTGAGATTCTTAACTTTTTACAAGCCTCGTATCTATTAGTAAGTACCTATCCTAAAAAGGTGTCAAGCGCAGGGAGGATTTTTACCTATAATTCTACAACGTAATATAATATAGATAGAATATCGATAGACTTGTTTACATTTTAGCGGAAAATTTACCTTTACCTTTACAAGGTGAAATGTTAAAAGTGGTAAATGCCTGGTTACCGCTGAAAGTAGTAGTGGACTAAATGAAAAAGTATGGGTTGCAAGTCTTTAAAAATTGTAGGAAAAGAAAGTTTTTATTAAGAATTTCGTTTAGGGAAAATTGTGAACTTTCTTGTATCAGGCCTTATTAAAAACATGAGTTTTTAAAAAATTTTATGTTCGTTTGTAACGAATATAGTTTAACCCACGTACGTACACCGAAAGAAAACCCTTAAAGCCCACTTTGTAAACACCTGAAAGAGCGAAAGAGTTAGGCGTAATTTTTTTGGTAAATCAAGTTCATCGGATATTTTTTGGCTCTGGCAATTTGTGGCATTGTTGCGAAACTCAGTGTAATAATTGGTAAACTTGAGGGGGAAGTTTGAAAGTCTGTGCAAAAAGAATCGAAAGTAGGTTAACTTGTGTGTTACGAGATGGAAGAAATATAATATAATTCTGATAATGCACGTAACACCCAATTTTAAATTGATAAAGAGGTTCTAAGGTTTATGAAGTCCAAAGTGCCTCAAAAATGCTTTTCATTCAGATTTTCAAGAAGACTTTTAAGCTCATTTATTCTAACATTTCTACGAAGACTTCCAAAGGAATTCTTACACGAATTCTAAACATGTTCTAAAGCTATACAAAGAAGATTGGAAAAACAGTCAAATTCCTAAAAAAATTCTCAGATAGGTAAAAAGATTTCCCAAAATGCTGCGGATATTTATTTAAAAACAACCAAGAATATTCTGAAAAAGGTTTTTAAACAATTTCTCACTGTGACCCAACATTAGCACTTAAACAAGATTTCAAATATTTGTATGAAAACAATTAGCTGTGTTTCTAAAAAAAATTCAGAGATCCCTAAACGGTAATTCAAGAATTATTTTTTAGAAATATTCCAAAAAGCTTTTCGAAAAAATGTTTCTAAAAATTTTCTCTGCATAAGCAAATTTGCAAAAAGGTGCATAGTAAAATTAATAGCAAGATTCATAGAAGTTCTTATAAGACCTTTAAAATTCTCGGTTTTTGCTTTTAAACAATTTGAAGCCAAAGAATGTTTTCAACAAGAGTCCTAACACGTTGTTTGTTTCACACAAATGCACCTGACATTTGAAAATCAATGGCCGAACCTGCGTTAGAACCAGAGACCCTTTAGCCTTTAGTAGAGCAGACACTCCACTACGCCATTCGAACTGCCCAAAAGTCCTCTAAAAAATTCTAAAATCGTTTTTTAAAAAAACCTCTGCCAAAGTTTTTAAAAGATTTATAAAAAGAAAGTAAACAAATTGTTCAAATTCTAAAAAACCTTTATAAGGTGATAATTAATATTTTTAGAACATTATCTAAAGACATTTCTAAAATTATTCAGAGGTATTGCAATAGTTGTTTTGAAAATTTTAATGAGATGTTTTGGATGGTCTCTAAATGTCCCACCTTAGTTTACTCACGAAGGTTTGTATTACTATTTTCAAAGTAGCTTTCCGTCAAAACCCTTTGGAATATCCCTAAAATCATTTCTAAAAACATTTCTAAGACACTATTAGATCCTCAAGATTTAGAATAGGTTTTTACTACGGTTAAGATTATTTTTAATAAAAATCTTAAGGATATGTCTAATAACATTGTCAGAGGATTTTAAAAGCTGCGCCAAATGGAGTTTTTAACACGATTCCTAAAAAGATTTTAAGGACGATTCTAAAGAAGTTTTGAAGTATGTTTCTCTTACAAATTCAGAAAGAACTTCTAGTTTGGGTCCGGAGAAAAAAAAATCTGGGGATTTTTTAAATTTCAAAAGTAGGTAATCCTAAAGAAATTTTTAAGATCACTGGTAAGATTCCTAGCAGGTTACTAAGACAGCTAATAAAGTTGTACCCAAGATATGCTTATATTTTTTGCGACTTTTTGCTATCAAAGACGGATTTAAACTAGAATTTAAGTTCAGAAGTACATTCGCTATTCAGTGTTTTACTTGTAATAACAATTGTATTGTAAAAAAAATGATCTAAATAAATAATATCATGTTCTAGTAAATGTAATTTATATTTTTTGATTTTATCTCTAGGAATCCATACAGAAAAACGATATAATCGTTCTGTAGTTTTCCTGACTTTTATGTAAATAACTTTGTCCTTTATACAGCGAATACATAGCAATTTGGCGACGAGCTGAGATATTGAGAAATTTGATCTCACCGAGGACCCGTAATCAGTTACAATTTGCGGAATAAATAAATGCCTCTCCAAGACTACCACCGTCCGGCAGTGTCGGAGATTGGCGAAAGAGTCATTTTCCACAAATATGTACAGAAACCAGGTCAATTTGTTTCTTTAGTTTGTGGTTTTTCTAATGATAATATCCAGAAAAAGGATTTTGTCTCAGCAGCATTTAAATTTCACAGATGCCTAAGATAGTTATAGGTTGTAAATTAGGAGATCAGCAAGTGCAGATGGTCAGCAATCAAATTCGTCAGTCAACAAATTAAACCAGTCTCATAAAAAGGACCCATATAAGTCAAACAAGTCAGGAAGTCAAAATAGTATGACGCAAGGAGCAAAGTTAAGTCAGTCGAATCAAAGTTTCATAGTCAGTCCAGTCAGCTGTCAAGTCAAAGTTGCTACCGTTGTGCTCGTTGGCACAATCCTGACGGATGTCCCGGACGCTCGAGATTAGGAATGTTTTACGTGCAGAATTAAAGGACGCACTAGCAGAGTATGGAAGAAGTCAAAAGTCAACGTCAACTAATCGCATCGGCGGTACAAGAAGGTAAATTTGAACGAAGTTGTATTAGCGTGGTGAGTGATAAAGAAAAAGCTTTTAAGGTGCCATAAATTTTGAGGGAAATCTAGTAATTTTGATATTGACACTGGAACATCTAGGTCAGTAACCCATATATCGACTTTTAAGGGAATTTTTCGAGAGAAAAAAATCTGTTCCTCGTCTAACTCGGAAACAAAAAGAGACAGCGATGTCAAACTTTCGCCAATCTATTTCTATGCGTTTTGGGATCAGTGCTATTGAATACGAGCCGGATTAAAAGTCTGGTTTCGGAATATGAGCCGTGTGGCAAAAAATTCCCCTATTGAAAATCGTATGTGATTATTTGTATCTTGTTAGACAATGGTATTATTAATGTTAATTTTAGTTTGAAAGTAGTTACTGGCCAAAAAGTTAATATATAGTAGCTAAAGTCGAATACTGGTCAAGGTGCATTAGCTTTCGTAATTATTG